TTAAATTTTGTGGATGCTTTAAAAGATTATTTTCTTTACTTCTTTCAACTTTTTTTAAATAAATCTGTTTTTTTTTATTTATTTAATATAATATTTTTACAACAAATCCATTATTTTTACAACAAATCTTAACCTTTATTTACCATAGTTAGAATTAATTGATTTGTGTTAAACTCGATAGCTTTTTCCTATTGTGAAATTAATGCCTTCTGGCGACCAATTTAAAGAATCGATTTTCTCGGGCTTCTCTTGCGGCCAACTTTTCAGCTGTCAAATCATTGGCCATACCCAGGAACAGTTAGAAATCATTATGTGCGAGGTCCCGAATAAAAGACGTAAGCCTTCCAATCAAGCTCTAGGAGCTTCTGGCGAGTCACTATCAACGGCGTTGTCCGCACAAAATCTCTACATTAATGGTCAAATCTAAACACTTTTGAGAGATTACTTCATTGAAAGGGACGAAATGATTTTATTTTTCTTTTCTTTATTAAATTTTATTTCCTTTTATTGGTTGCCCAAAAAGTAATTGCGGATTTTTTAAAAGAAAGTAAATGCATTTTTAATAAAACTTAGAATGAACTTTAATCAATCACTCAGTGACCAAAGATGTGTGCGGTCTAGCGTTGTCCTGGTGGGATATGACACCTTTACGATTGACCAATTCTGATCGCTTCTCCTTGATGGCTGTANATTTTATTTTATTTTATTTTATTTTATTTTATTTTATTTTATTTTATTTTATTTTATTTTATTTTATTTTATTTTATTTTATTTTATTTTATTTTATTTTATTTTATTTTATTTTATTTTATTTTATTTTATTTTATTTTATTTTATTTTATTTTATTTTATTTTATTTTATTTTATTTTATTTTATTTTATTTTATTTTATTTTCTTTTCTTTTCTTTTATTTTATTTTATTTTATTTTATTTTATTTTATTTTATTTTATTTTATTTTATTTTATTTTATTTTATATTATATTATTTTATTTTATTTTATTTTATTTTATTGTGTTTTATTTCAATTTATTTTTTTTTTCAATTAATATTTTTTTCTTTAAATTTTTATTTATTCTGGTTTTTATTTTATCTTACAATATTCTATTTTAACTCATTTCATTTTAATTTTTTACTTTTTATTTAAGTTTGATTTGTTTTTTTTTTTTTTTTATATTATTTAATTTCAATTTAAAAAATCGATATAACATGTAAAATCATCAAAAAAAAAAGAGATGTAAAAATGTTAAAATATTAATGGCTTGCAATTTTATTACTTTTCAAACGAATTTTTGGTCGAAGCACTATTGGAATTGCTGTCAGTTTATTTCTAAGAAAAACTTTCAGGACAAAAATTAGAACGAATGGTTTGTTTTTTAATTTCTTGCTGACAAAGCGCTGCTCAACCGCCTACGCATGGTCTATGTAAGTTTAATATGCTTTTTTAAAAATTTATAAATTTAAACTCCGCTTTTATCAAATCTGTATCATAGATAAAATACAAACATACATATATATGCATTTTAATGGGCATATATGTAAGTGTGTTATCAAATTGCAGAGCACAATGCACCACCACCGTCCAGTAGAGCTGAAGACCATATGCGGAGTAATAAAAGCAATAAACACATATACACGTATGTACATACAACAGTACATACATAAAAGCACTTATGATAAATTGAGAATAGCCAGAGATGCTTTTAAAAGGATATGCATTCCGCCTTTTGATAATGGTTGCTGACCGCTGATGATGTTATTATATAATACAATGCATACATCTATAACTACAGATATATGTCTGTATATACATATATAGTAGCGGTGGTGAAATGCATTAAAAGAATGCAATCAAATATTTGTGCTGCACGAACATAAAAGGGATACACAAAAAAAATATATTATGTACAGTGTTTAGTATATACAAACATTCTTATGACCATAATTATACATATACATATATGTATTTATTTGTACATATATTCCCTTATCAACACATCACACGTGTACATACATATACACAAAACAACTGAGCGCAGCATGTGCGCTATGCATTTCAAACACTGGAATTTCAAGTGGGTCAACATGCTGGATTATGTAATTAAAAGTGAAAGAGAAAACAAAAAACAAAAAAAAAAACGAAATAGAAAAAAGTTAAACGAGGAATGCGGCTGATATCTACTGAAATCGCTAAAATGAAGTAGAGCAGCAGAAATTGAATTTTAGCAAAGTGACAAACACGCGCAGTGACTGCATGAAAAAAAGAACCAAAAAAACGCGAGGAAATGGAAATGAGATTATTCAAGTTATGTAGAATTGAATTGGAAAAATAAACAGAAGGAGAAGAAGAAAAAAAGTGAAAAAATCACACAGCATTATTGCAATAGAATACCGCATAGTTTAATTTTTTTCTTTTTATTTGTATTTCACTCAACAATGCAAGCAGTGGCCAGCAAAGGCACACCTAGGCGTATACGTGACCTGAAATATGCATAAATGGAGTATTGTGAAAATTCTACTACATATTTATATTATAATAGCAATAGGTTTTTATGGCTCATTGACACAGTTATACTGGATTACTTTTAATTTTTTTTACCGAAGTATATTTTTGAAAAATCCAAATGGATAATAATAGAATTTATCTTATTAACAGAAATATTACTTTTGGATAACGCTCTTGGATATACACCGTAAAGATACGTAGTTAAACAAAAAAATCCAAGAATTTATGTTCTTCTTTTTTCTTATTGGCGTACACATCGCAGTATACACCGGGTATCAGTCGCTTGATCAACACTCCGGGCTCATTTCGGTCCATTGCAAGGTTGGGTTGGCAACGTATTTTCTCCCTACTGTGTGCCGGCAGTGCTCATTGTACCAACTGGTTTTGCGAACTTTTCGAAAAGCAGTAGCTTCGTTGCAGATGTTCTCTTAAACCGTGTTTCTGATGAGTGCTTTCAGAGAGGAGGTGTGCGAGTCGGAAAACAGTTGGCACTCCGCTGTGATTACAGCTTTTCCACGTCGAACCTTCCTCGTGTTCGTTTATTGGCATTCTTTGCGCTCCACAGAGGCGCGTGCGGATCTTTGCTACTACTAGTCAAAGATCGGAGCTGGTGTTGGGTGATCGGAGCGTACTCACGCCTAAAACATTAAAGATATGGCGTCCACTTATCACAACATGATCGAACTGATTACGAGTTATTTGACCTGGACCACCAGGTATGTTGGTGAACATTCTTTAGTTTGAGTTGGCAGCTAGTAATACACACAGCCACATTACAGGTAACCACGAAGTCGATCGGGCCAAACACGTTTGCCAGCTGTACCCACCCTAACACCAAGCAAAATTTTGTTATCATTCCGGAGTTGAGGGCTCACAAGTACACTTCAGGTGCTCATAAAAAGCGGCCTTGGTTCCATCGTCGTTCTCTTCAGTCAGTGATATATTAAAGTATTAGATGCGAATTGTGGCAAGACGTTTATTCATGCAAGAACTTGACCGGGAAGTCTCACTCCCTTGACAAATTCGACAAAAATTGTCTACCTTTATGGCCACTGTTGCCCGTGCTTGTTCCGTCCATCGATCAGTTTTTAATCTCATGAAACAACAACCAGCTGAGGCGTAGCACGCATTTTGGCGTGCATACCCTCATATCTTAGTCCTTAAATGTTTACCGTGTTCGTAATCAAAAGAGGGGTCTTTCAACCTGGGGTTTGTTAGTTTTTCCATTGACGCAGGTTTCTACGTGACGGTGATATCCTTGACATCGGTAGGGTACATTGCATATGACAATTTCTAGAGATTACTTTCTGATCTACTCCGCTTGGTAAGGTTTTGGAATATCCACAGTCCGAGCATTTTGATTCCTTGCCATCTCCGGAAAACAAATTCTTACTCACGTCACACCCAATTCACCGACGTTGTATGCAAAACGCTAGACTCACTGGGAGGCAGCCAGTTACGGGAGAATTTCTCAATATCTTGACGCTTTGTGATTCACTGGGTGATTTGTACACTGTGAGTACGAGATCGAACATGAAATGGAGTAGAGGATGATCCCACTCCAAAATGCAAGGATCGGATTATAGGTTGCTTCTCTACGTGGCACTTACATGTTTTTGTTGTTGTCTGCATTACGAAAATTGTGCCCGAAAAGGCTTTTGTTTCAAAATTTCTCAGCGATGCGACCGATGATCGCGGGAATAAATGGATTTTATTCGCTTCTCGCGACTGACAGTGAGTAGTGGTTGGTCGGCAATCTGAGCCCTTCACCGTCTGCTGACGCTGTTCATGATCTCCTTCCTGCTTTTGGATAATCTCTGCCCTGCTGCTGTGGGCTGTGTTTGTGGTCGGCAACACAGCTTCACACTGACAAGACTGGTTAGTATTTATTCGCTCACCCCATAGCTGTCTGTTGTTGATTTCTTGGCTGTGGCATGTTTCTATTCTATGTTGCTCCGTTAATTTTATGGTGTGACGACAGGAGGAGCTGCACGGCTTTGCCATTTTTCCCCACTGTTTTCGATCATTCGCTTATGTATGTATGGTTTTGTTTTTAAACTTCACTTCGGCTGTTTACCTTGCAATGTAATCGAGCTCAACTCCTGAAACCTAAAGCCATCCTCACTTGATACGTAGTAATACTTATTTCTATTTCCATTACCATAACACCGATCCAATCTAAGACCATAGAAACCCTTCAAATTTACTCCGAAAATCAGCTCATCTGGGCTTAGCCCGGTAGCTCTTATGGTTTTCCCCAGTATTGAGCTAAAAAACAGCCAACTGCTCAGAGTACTTTTTAGTAGGTGCGAATCGCGAAGAGTATGTGCATTTTAGAAATACTCTACCGAGCCTTACTTCTCCGTATGGGAACCACGGTCTTCCTGATCCAAAATTTGAAATATAATTCATTTTCAGTGATAAGCTTGTCTGAAAATACTCTTTTCTAATTGAACATTTTTCAAAACCACGTTCTTTACTCTCTCTCTTTTCAGTTCGACAAATCTACCCACGATAACCACAACAGCACAATCATCACTAGACTCCGATCAACCAACACTATTCAAAGCGACAAGAGAGCAAGTAAAGCGTCCACCACTCTACCGGCAGGACTATTCGACCTGTGTGGACTCGAGTGAAGCGCAGTCAGACGATAGTCATCTAACACGCGACTCTATAACACGGGAATCACAAAACGACGAGCTCTCCTCTTCAACACTCGATAAACTCGACGTCTCGACACTACCGCTACCCGCACTACCTCCGAAGAAACGTCGCACGCGTTTGCGTGCCAGTCCATCGCGACACCACAGTGGCGTTGGCGGCGGTAGCAGTAGTCGTCGTGGATACGAGCATGATTTGGCTGTTGTTACAGTCAGCGACGAACAGCGACACGGTCGCCATACTGCATCTCCGCTAACTTTGAAAGTTGCTGGTGCTGGTGGTGGGCCAGGTAGTCCCAGTGCTGGTGGAAGTGGCAGTGGTGGTAGTTGTGGTGAAGCCACACCACATCTCTCAGCTTTTCAGCAGTACGTGGCAAAACGTCGTGAAAGTCTTGAGGCGTCCACACGGAGTTTCAACGAAAAACTGGAAGCGCGTAGAATGCATTACCACATGGGTGGTGGTGGAGGTTGCGAAAGCGCTTTGACTGGTGGCGGCGGCGGTAGCACGGTGGCGGGCGTACCAGTAGCCGGAGCTCCGGGACACATGCCTACCTATCTCTTCGGTGAACATTATTACGGTGTGCCCACTAAGGTAACGGGCGCACCACGCAAGTCGACGCATGGCAATAAGGAGGAGATCTTTCTTAACAAATCCGGTTGGGTGCAGGTGAATACGAAGCGGAATAGCGATGAGAATCGAGCTGGTAGCGCTAGTGGAGGCAGCTACCGCAGTGCAAGTTTTGCCCATCAAAATGGCGGTAGCGTTGATGGCGAGCGTGAACGTGATACCCGACGCACCGTACGGGTCATACAAATTGATAATACGCGACGTTCGGATCGTGCACGACAAGCGCTACAACAAAACCATCAGTACTCGCTTGACCCCGCCTTCGGTATGGGCAAGTATCCGGCGAGTAAGGTGGAAGAGTTGATACAGCGTAATCAAGCGCGACTTGGAAATGCGGGTGGTCCTGTGCTTGTAGCAACACGCAATAACGCATTGCGTCCCGGTTATCGAATCGTCGATCCCCAATTGGCTAGCATACTCAATGAGCGTCCCGGTTTTCTGCCTGTGCGGAATTTACACGACGGCGACTCACCACCGCCCATCACACCCATACTCTCGCCACCACCTGCCTTTCAAGACAACAGCAGCAAATCGAAATATATTGATCGACGCAAAACCATACCCATACGACAACATCAATCAGCGCTGACCGCGAACAATCTGCATGTGGCAAATGTTAGTAATGGCAGCGCCGGCAAGGGTATGGTATTCTCGCGTAGCTTCGAGTATGATATGCGTCGCAATCAGCCAGCCGATGCTTATGTCGAGACATTTTCGCGGAGTTTTGATGGCAACCTCTCCGAGCGACCGCCAGTTCCACTGCAACGCGAGCGCTCACCGAATTTCAGCACCTTAACCGGCAATTCACCAAATTATCTAACGAAGAAGGACTCAGGTGGCGGCAGCAGTGGCAGTCTACGCAGTCGTGATAATTCACCCAAATATCAGCAGCCACAAACCACTGCCTATTTGAATGCTTCAATCAAAGAAGCGCCGCCCGCTTACAGTTGTGCCAGTGCGAATCCACAGGCCACGGCGAGTAGCCGGTATTCGCCACGCTCACGGCATGAACGCTCTTTCGAGCGTTCGAAGAGTCATAATGTCTTGGTGCGTTCACGTAAATCACAATTCAATCGTGGTGCTAGCGGTGGTCCTACCGTGGGCAGTCAACAGCAGCAGCCGATGATTAGCGTCGGCATGTCAAGGTTTCGCAGCTTCGATACAGCGGCGAGTCAACGTCTAAATTCCTGCGACAGTGGCGCGCGATCAGGTGAGTGGAAATTATGATTATCGTAATCCGATTTTCTACTATAAATTGATATCTGCGCTAAGCAGTTAGATCACTATTTCATTACTTCCAACCTAGTAGATCAAGACATTCAAGAAATGTTTTATTTCGATGAAGGCGGCTCTGAAGATAAGGTCTCCTCAGCTAGGTTAGGGATCTCGAATAACAAGTGCAGGAATGAAGCCCAGGGAAAATGTACATCCAGATCGTTAAAGTGCAAGAGAAGTCGAATTCTTTCTATTGCGATTAACTCACATCATTGGATGCAAGGGTCGCCTATATAGGGTATTGTGTCCGTTGAGAAGTTTTAGGTGGGACATGTGGTCTGGGAAATTTAGGACGTTTTGTTAAGATCGTTACCATATCATCATTTTTTATATTCTATACTCGGTTACAAAATTGAAGAAGAATACGAATCCGAATCCATACACAAATCAATGAGCACGAATATGACTACCAATATAAAAACGATGACGAATGAAAATACGAATACGAATACGAATACGAATACCAAACCGAACAAGAATACGACTGTACATACGATTACTAATACAAATTAGAAAACGAATACGACTACCAAAACCAATATGAAAACGAATCAGAATACGAATACGACTAAGAAATCGAATCCGAAATCAAATCCTAATACGAAAACAAAAACGAACCCGAATTCGAAAACGAGCCCGAATACGAATATGAATGCAAAAAGGAATGCAAACTTGAGTTCGAATGGGAACATGAACACGATTCAGAATAGGAATACGAATACGAAAACAAAAACGAACCCGAATTCGCATACGCGCACATGAAAAGGAATACGACTACGAAATGGAATACGACTACGACACATGTCTACTAACATGATAAGTAATACGAATACGACTACTCAACCAGTTCCGAATACGATTGCGAAAACGAGCCCGAATACGAATATGAATGCAAAAAGGAATGCAAACGTGAGTTCGAATGGGAATATGAACACGATTAGGGATAGGAATACAAATAGGACTGCGAAAACGAACCCGAACCCGAATACGATTTCGAATGCGAATGGAAAAACGAACGCGAAAAGAAATTCGAATGGGAATAAGAACACGATTAGGAATGGTAATACGATTACGAAAGCGAAAACGAACCCGAAGGCAAAAACAAATGCAAACATGAGTTCGAATGGTAATATGAACACGATTAAGAATAAGAATACGAATGAGAAAACGAAAACGACCCCGAACCCGAACCCTTAGGCAAAAACGAATGCAAACATGACCTCGAATGGGAATATGAACACGATTAGGAATGGGAATACGAATGCGGGTATGAATAACAATACAATTAGGAATATGATTATGACTTTGAATACCAGTAGACAACAACAATGGATACGAATACAAATACGAACACAAATACGATACCCAAAACCAATACGAAAACGAATCAGAACACGAAAACGACTAAGAAAACGAATTCGAACACGAAAACGAATGCACATACAAATACGAAGGGGAATAAGAATGCGAATATGAAAAGGAATCCGCATACGAATGCGAAAATACGACTAGGATTATGAACTGAACCACCAATACATTAATGTAAACACAAATGTGAATAAAAATACGAACAGTAACACGAATGTGTATTCGATACGAATTGAAATACGAACAAGAACATGAATGCGAATATGTTCAGCAGGTACTAAAGTGAATTCCATGCGGTCCAGCCTAACATTTCTTGAAGTCATTGGTAATTAGTGTGATCAGTATTAAAATATTGTCCCACCTCTCCATTCTAAACGTTTCATCCTTGTTGGTAACCTTGACGCCAAATCAGCATTTATGCAGGCGCACGAGTGAAGCCGAGTATTAACGAGTGAACGATGTGAACGAGAAGAGACGAAGTCCATGGAGACATTACTTGAAGAGATACCATGATAAGAGAAGTCGGCCAAGAGTACTTCGCATTGCTTATCTTTTTGGATGGAACTTTGGCTTTTGCGGCTATAGAACAGCGAGCTTAATCCTGAAAGGCGGGGACTGTAAGGAAAAATAAAATTAGTAATCGACAAAACTATTGACTCCCCACGTGCGTTTTCTTCATCACTTACTTATGTAAACGTTAGAGTAAGAAGAAATATATCGTTTTTTAAGGTTTTTTTCATTGAGTTTGGACCATGGCTCGACTTACGTAAAATAGGTTAAGGGTGAGATAATAAAGAAAGTAATACAAAAACTCTCGTTTCTTTCTCCCTAGAAAGCTGAGAGGCTCAACACTTAAGAGACAATTTTTTTCTACTTCCTTTATAAATAACTTTATGAGCACATTGCCGTCTCGTTATGGTTCGCATGCATCAGAGTAACACTTGCTCAACACTCCCTCTAGACTTTTCACTACACCCCGTTGCTCCCACGCATAAAGGCTTAGGAGGTTTCACCCAAAACCACTTCAGCCATAGTTCATCCATTCATCGCGGTCCCCTTCATAGCTCCATTCAAAACTCAATATTTCATTGCAGCTTAACTTTAAGCGCGGGAAAAAGGCAATTGAAAAAGTTTTAAACTCAACTTTAAATTATTTGAAAATGCATTTGCATTGAAACTGCGTCTGATAGAAGGATTTCGGAATGAATATGTTCCACTCAAGCGCATGCAGCATCAGGACAACAGTATGAGCAAAGGCTTTATGAAAGTTTTTCAAGGATTCAAACACATACATATACCTACGAGTACACTCATATATGTATGCTCGTGTGCCACACTCGTTCATTCGTACATTCATCGTTGAGTTGCTGTTAAATCCGACATTTTTATGTGCGTGAGCAATGAAGCGCAACAACGGATTGAATTCGAAAAGCTATGAGTAAATGTCAAAGTTCCACTCGATGCTTTGCCAAATGCCAAACGCTCATCTCGTCTCTCCTCGTCTCGTTTCGTCGTTCATGTGAGGGTTACTCGGGGGGTTGTAAGCAATGAAAAATTGCATAGATTCTTGCGTGCCGGGGTTCGGGGCAGATGAATTATGTTTGCGGAAGTACAGGTGTGTTGAGGAGATTAAATTTTCCTTGTTCTACTCCAGTGCACTCAGTTTCAATATGAGATAAGTGTCAACAATGTACACTGAAACTAAAGGCTTAAGTTTAAAGTTTAAGTCTATTGTAGTTTTTGATTGGCTTGGAGTACAAGAAACTGGGATACTTATAGTAAGTTAGGAAGCATTAATTAGCTCATTATTTCCCACATCAGCTCATCGAGAAAGCTGCTATTGAGGCGAGGTCAGACCTCGTTATAAGAATAAAGACGAATATTTGGGTGAGGCTGCCGATTGACTGCTATAAAGTGTCGATAAAAGTGGTAATGCATGGCAGAAGGAGTAATCCCTACTCAGTAGGAATACAGATGACAACAAGTCTGATGTTTCCAGTAAGAGTATTGGCAGCCTCAGAGCAGCTTAGTCTTTAGCAATGGGTTCGTAACGATTGTTTTAATCTCTTATTGGTAGGAACCTAACAGTGAGCCTCTCCTTTTAACCGATTAGAGCTTATTGACTGAACCAACTAACCCGCAGATACCATTAAATGTTAAAAAGCTTACATTAAAAGCAATTATTTAGGACCTAACCGCGAGCCTACCCTGTCAACTAACTACTTACTTACCCTAAGAGCTTGCTAACCTAGCAAATACGTACATATATGAACCCTATACGTACGTTTGCGACTCGAAGAGATGGTAAATGTATCTCATACCTAAGTTGGATGTGACGATTAAGGTTGGATGACTTTAGAATATCGAACAACGCAACCTATCTACTTTTCCAGCTGGATGAGCCGGAGAAAACAAAAATGCTCCCAGACCTTACGATGAAAGTGTTGTGAACTGCGAGGATCACCTTTCAACCAAACAGCTAACTACTTACTTGCTCTGGGGGATAGGGGTTTCGGAAATATGTAAATGAAAGCAATCCATATTTTCAAGATCTCGAAAGGGAGCCCTTAACACGAGTTATGAAAATTGTTTACACCTTTCCTTCTGGGGGAAGAGTCCTCCTTTCAACCATGCGATAACAACAGACTTCCGAAACCCAAAACTCTCATGAGATAAGGAGATGATACAACAATCCAGGCTCATTGTGCTAGCCAAATTGGAAAGAGTTCCCATGGTCTTTATGTGCTCCTTTTCCGTTTTTCGTTGAGCAAGTGCGCACCGGGTGCCATACTCAGAACCAAAGACATTCATTCGTTGACGCAAATTTCACATTTGCGAAGAAGTGGGAAGAAACCGTTATTGTTAGACAAATACGACTGGAATGGCAACTAAAAGAACTGACAGCGCCCAACTCCACAAAGCTAGAACGGAAGTGTCGTCAATGACAAAATAACAGAGCTCTTGGCTATTTTTTGTCTCTCTCAAGCGGCGTAGCGACGGATGGAGTTAAGCTTGGTCTCTATTTAAACTCACCTCGTACGATTTGTGCGGCGGATTTTATGTTTCTCGAACAGATAGACTGGCTTACAATTGTTTCAAAGATGTCAGGTCGGAAATTTGCTCTGAGGGATTGGCATTCCGTGCTTAAGAGCAGGTCCGTGAAGGGCAGCAGCTTTTTAAATATTGGGCCGGTGCAGAAAGATGGAAACTATGAAGTCGTCTGCGTATTGGAAATAGAGACCAGACTTATAACACGCTGATCAATGAGGTAATAGAAGACCCATAAAGCTTGCATTTCAACCATTGATATAGACAAACTTATCTCAGAGACGTGCACTAGAAACGATTGGATCTTGATCTACTACCTTATTCGTATAAGTCAAAATCCGAGGTTCAATACATCTTTGCTTTTTGAAGATGTTGCCATTCTTTTATTGTAAAAGACTTTGAAATAGTTTCTTATATTAAGTTAATATCTCTTCTTCTTGTTTTCATGTCACAGATCTCTCCAACGATGAATTAGATTGCGACGACGACGAGGGCTCCAATGAGTTTCTCACCGCCAACTATCACCACAGTATATCACCGTTGAAGACGCAAAGGCAACGTTCTATAACACCCGATCGTAACGAATCGCACAGCTCATCGAGTAGTTTACGAAAACAACGATCTATAACACCCGAATCCCGTTCACTCACACCAGAGGATCGACGAAGGAAAGGCGGTTCGCAGGCTTCGCTCATAGGATCGCGGCAAAATTCCAGTTCACGCAGTAATACCTTGGAACGCAAGCAGCGTTTGACTGAAGGACAACCCACGACAAATATTTCACGTAGCAGCTCATCGAGCTCCAGCTACAGTGGTGGAGTTGAGCAACATGACGGTGGTGGAGTGGCTGTTGTGGCCAGCGGTAATACGACAGGCATGCCAACTACTGCGTTGGTGGGTGGCACTATGGTAAATGCCAGTGCAACTGGTGGAGTTGCTGGCGTGGTCACTATGCCTGGAAGCGGTGGACGCGGGCAGCACCGACGTTCACTTGGACGGAATGCTAAGCAAGTGGATGAACATCGCATACGACGATCGAGGTGAGTAGGAATTTTTTATATATATTTTGTGAGCTCAATTAAATCTTAACAACTCAAATAGTAATTTGAGGAATTCGGTCGCTCTATCCGGAGAACGAGTACTCAACTGGACCTTAGTTACCCACTCTTTTTAAAATTGCTTTTAAATAATACATCCCACAGATCACTCCAGCTTACCGAACGTTCACCGAACCGCTCGCACAAGGTTATCGTATCCATGGGACAATCGCAAGGCGCCCCAACGCCAACCTACCACACAACAATTGCGCAGCCAATTTACCAACAAACTGGTGTGCGCGTGAGTAACGGTAATGTAATGCCAGCAAGACCACCCATACGCACCAGCAGCAAATCTCAGTCACTGCTGGTGAGCGGCAGCAGCAGCAATGCGAACTCCGGTCGTACACGCAGTAATGATATTGACAAAAGTCGCTCCTTTGACTTTGATTACTGCAATTACAACACACAGGTGGCGCTGAAAGGCCACAGCCACCTGAGCGCTGGTACGAGTGTCGCCAGCAGCGGTAACAATCAGATTGTGCCTATGCGCTTGGATTTCGATAAGAGCCGCTCATTCGACGAAGATTACCGCGAGCCACTAAATAGTGTCAGTAATAATTTGGCCACTAAAAATGGTGGTATGCGTTATCTGCAGGCCATTGTCGATGCTGGTGGCGCGGCCAACAACAATCGCAGTGGTCGTCTAAGACGTTCATCGCCCGTCGGCAGTGGCGATCGTAGTTCACGTTCACCACAATCTTCTGGTTCATCATGTAATAACCTGAATCTGCCACGTCAATCGACAAGTCCACAAAACTATGGCACGCGTCTCTGTGATCACGAACTCACCTACGATATGTTGCGTCGATCACTCGATCGTTCACCGATTATGGACTTTCGTCGCGGCGATAGTGGTGAATATGATTTACCGCCAGCGCTGCTGCGTAATCGTGAAACGATCAATAGTGGTGGCAATAGCGAATTGAATTTCTTCAATAATGATACCACGACATATCACATCTACGAGCAGCCACCAACGAGTAAAGTGCCAACGAACGCGGCGGGTAGTTCGTTAAAGCAACAACGTTCACTCGGTCACACACACAGTCCGAGCGAGTCGCAGTACTCACTAGAGCGTACACATTGCAACGCTACGGGACGTGAGACTCAATTGACGCCAGAGGGCGCCAGTGGTGGTGGGGATTACCGCAACGAGCACATCTATCGACACCCGCATACACGGGAATCATCGCGAGATGGCACAGCACGCGGCAGCGGCAGCAGTCGCAACAGGTATTGAAGAGCCGATAATATTCGAGAGTATAGAGTTTGGGGATAGCTTGTCGTATGGTCCGCAATGCATGCTCCGAGGGCCTGCGGCGAACTGAGCTCATTAACATAGACTATGACTGCCTTATCCTGCCTGTTTGCCTGTCCGCCTGCCTGACTGACTGATTGAGTAGCTGCACGTCGTTAATATATCAAATAACCGTAAAACTAATCACTACTAATAAAGACTAACTAAAAGCAAATATTTTAACAAGAAAACTAACCGTTAGTAATAGTTTTTGCAAATCAGCAATCTCATGTATGTGTGCGTTTGAATAGAATAAAATGCAAATTTATTCACCATCGCAAAAGTAAAATGTGCATTTCCTTCACGCTTCCACTATCATATTCACTCTCCTTTTCTCTACTTGTTGTTTCCTTATTAACAACTCACCAAAGGCACATTTAACACCGCTGAAATGCACGTACTGAAATCATGTAAGCAACCGAAAAGTTTCACCATAGAAGTTCACCATAGTGTAAATAAGTGTATAATAGAACATTATCGTTCATATTTTCCAAAAAGCAAACCAAAAATCACAATGTAGAAACTCACCACAGTGCAAATATGTACTGAAAAGCACTAATAGTCATATCAGCTGTATAACTAAGTAGAATTGAAGAGCGTATGTGGAAACATTTTGAAAGAATTAAATTCCCCACTTAAAAAACAACTTTAAAACCACGAAAATAAAAAAGTATACAATTAAAATAATATTTTGAACAGTGACAGGCACATACAAGTGTGTGAAGATGTTTAAAAATATAATTATTGTTTTTTGAAATTCACCTCTGTGGTGAATATAAATCAAGTGTGGTGAATAAAAAATAAGTGGGATTTTGAACTTTACGAGGCTGGTGAAATATTTGCGCCATAGAACAGTTTGGCGCAGTGTGGTGAATTTAGTTTTCAATCATATGACAACCGCATTGCTATGGAAAACCAAACAAAATATTTAAAGTAACGTAAACTAATGATTTAAGCAAATAAGGTTCAAAAAATATATATTTGAAATAAAAATTTAACCAACTTAAAAAGTATTAATTAAGCAAACTGAATAAAATATTTCAACTCAAATAACTAAAAGTGTGTTTTTTATATAAAAATACTAAAAGTAAAAACCAAGCTCAAAAATTATAGTTAAAAATTCAATTAATTTTACTGAATAAGTTCTTTATATTGAAATAAGTGAAAATATGAAGATTTAAAAGTTCAGAATAAAAAAGTAAAGTTTAAACTAGAAAAAAAATAAAATAAACAAAAGAAAATTAATAAAAATTTTAAGTAATAAACACAAACATAAATAATTTTTAACATTCGTATTCCTAGTATTTTGTGAAAATCCCAATAATTCCAAGGCAACTCTGTCAACACACACTTACTTAAAAAAAGAACCGGTCAAAATGTGCACTTTCGCTAAAAAATGTACTCGTTTTTCCCAAAAATCACCAATTAAATCACATAACCACAAACCAAAACTTACCGTTAAGGCCCAAAAAACTCACCACTAACAAACTTGGCGCTTATTTACGCACGTGTATCGTTCGAAACTCACCATCAGTATGCATTGTAAGTAACATTCACCATAAACATGTTGACTGGTAACAAACTCACCACTAACCTGTAGAGTAAGCTACATAAAGGCATATGTGGTAAACTAACTACACTCACCACAGACTCCGCCCTAACTAACGCTTTAAATGTCTTAATAGCGGTACATACATCTCAACACGACCATGTCATAATTCTTCCTCCGATGCTAAAGTCATTTCCATATCTCTTCTTCGACAGTCTAAAGTTGACCACAACAAAATCAACAACTACGCCTCCAACTAAATCGATTTTAAAAAATACAACAACATTGAAAAGCAATAAAACCCCATTAAAACGTCAAGAAGCTCTGTTGAAATCACAAACTACCTGTTCATTTTGGCCACACTGCGGCGCTTGTAATGCCAACACAATGCCACGCCCAAACAGCAAAATCGACTCCAAACGTCAAATGTCACTACAAGAACAACAACAATTTGCATTGAATTGTCAACGTAGAGCAGAAGCAGGTGAAATGGCACTGAGGCGCTATCATTCTGAGCGCGCGCCTAGCGGCTGCGAAGAGTATGATGCTCTCACGCCACGAATAGAACACTCATCATATCCAGTGCCGTCACACAATACCAATATTTCCACTGTCAGTGTCAATTCTAATTTTAATGCACCAACGCATAAAACACAAAGTATCAGCAAATGCCGCGGCAGTGGTGCGAAAGTCACAAAAAATAACGGTACAATGACAGGTGTCACTCGTAGCAAAACACAATGGACACTTTTATGCAGCGGTGCCTCACTTATGGACTGTATTGAAGACTCCACTCGTGCCAAAGCAACGACCAAGTTGACCACAGCCAATAAAACGAAGGGGAGAGCAATCAATGAGAACGCTTACGTAGCCGCCGCTAGCAATAATGACACATTGACAGCCACCAAAGCAACGTCGATTGCTGCCAAATCATCTAGTTTACCGTTAACTGGCGCTTCATCGATATTTTTAGGTGAATGCGAAATGCCAATAACACGCGAATATGGCACGAGCAAGAGGTACAATCGCGAAAGCCTCGAACGAGAGCGGGAACGCAGCCGAGACCGTAACCGCGAGCGTGAATTGGAATGGGAACGTCAGTGCGCGCTCGATTACTATCGACAACCAGTCATTTACCGGGAAATTAGCGGCGTCGATGACAACCGAACGATAAATGAAATACAAAACAACGAAAATTACGACGTTAATGTTTACAATGAGCGATACAATTTCAATTACGCACAACAGCCCTCGGCTGGGGAGTACGCCAGGTAAGTGATGTTAAGGTAAATTATTTGTGGGGTAAAGAAAGCTTCTGCTAAATATGTATTTACGAGTATGTCACAGTTAACAAGGAGAATAAGTGAGCCCAAATAAAAGAGAGTGGTTCGTTGGTATCAAGGAAAACACTAGAGTTCTCGTTTTGAGCCACATTTCGAAAAAAAATCTATCGACTTATTAAATTTTTTGTTGGTGCTGAGATAGTGTTTGTACTCAGGCTTGATTCAAAGCAACTCTAGAAGTCAAGTTGTCGAAACGAGGTTTCCCAAAAAATAAAACTTCACAACTTTCTTAGTTACTATTAGTCGGGATCGAAATCTTAACGCGGCCAAAGTATTTGTCTTAATAAAGGTTTAGTTGGTTATTTAGGTTGCTCAATCACGGAAGCCTCTTCAAGTCAACTAACTCGTTGTGAAACCTATGATGATGAGGGTTGGATAATTCATCGAAGCCTCTTTTTTATATCTCAGCAACTGCTGCAGAATTCATCAGATAAGTATCTCATTCTTCTGCCCGTTTATTACCCGCAAAGGTCCTGTTTAGAAGAAGTAGAGATCTAGTTATCTTCAATCAATGACCAGATCTATCAGCAGCCTCGCGTGTAGTTTCATCCAGTCATCTGATATTAGATCTACTGATGAAATCCGATCTTAGCTGTGTGATTTTCTATGACTTTCATCGGAGTTGAAGGCAGCTCTCTTGCAGTTTTGAGTTTGAAGGCCGATAAAGTGCTTTTTTACTCCTTTCAACGGTACTTCGACTCCAGCGGTGTTCACTTACTAAGATTATAGCCAGGTATTTGATTTCAGTAGAAAGATGCCTTTTGAGTACGAACGGCTAACATGCAGGTACCTACTGGCGAAGAATATTAATCTCGCTTTTGGAGGATTTACATCCAGTACCTGTACTAGTTGCTTCAAAAAGAGCATTTCGGAGTATTTCGAAAACTCGGAGGGGTTTTCCAGCCACTGTTGGCACTACATCACAGAGCGTGCATTTCAGCATGAGATGCAACCAATTAACTTTGAGACCTCAAAGAAGAGGAGAGAAAACCCCATCCTCTGACGCACACTTGGGAGGATCGATCTTTGACAGCTTGAAATTATGAAGATGCTGATTTTGTTAGAACCAACACTTCAGATGTGTTATCACCGACAGTCTGTCCTAGCATAGATGAGCTAAGAGTCAGACATAGTATCTTACCTATTCCCTTTAAGTTCTGTCTGTATTGCTGTAAAACGAATGAGATCTTCAAGCATACAATGCCAGAGTAGTATGAATTCTGATTGCTGCGTTAGCAGACCACCCAGCGAGTACATTGTGATATCATTGACGCTGCTTAGTTTCCTCAGCCACTGATCAAACGAATGTATGGCCTTAGCGAAACTGTGAAAATTACTTATCATCATTGTTCCCGTTACTTCCCTCAAGTCTCTCAAATGACGTGCTTTAAGGTTTTACATTTTTCCTGCTCTCTATTACTCCTACAGTAGTCTTCTTTGCAGGGTACATACAGCCTTTCTGCATAGTGGTATTCTGGTATACTCTGTCAGAAGATCCAAACTTTTAGTATTCTTTTTATGTTAGCGAAATAAGCTTTTGTTGCCTTCTTGTAAACTCTATCGACCATATTATCGTGCTGTAAAGCCCGCATTGAAACCACCTTTTTTCAGAACTGATCCTAAGAAGAGTGTGCTTAGTGGATGAAATTAATTTGACTCAAATTTTTACAAGTGTGATCCGCAACTTAGTCAATCGAAATTTAGAATTCTTGATGAAGCCCTGCATATGGAGAGTCTCCGCACGACACTAACCACCTCTTCACATGACCTCTCAAACCAACTCATCTAACCTCCCTCTCGCTTTGGGCCAACCCCGTCTAAACAGCTCGTTTCCTGGATCTCCCATTAGATGACCTCGGCGACTTAGATTAATCAAACCTGTGCGGAGTTAGAGAACCGCTGCAACAACAACAACAAAAATACTTTATGAATTAATTGGGAGTTAATCATTTTGAAAAGGTTCGGTTACGTGTCGATGGTGATGTCTGAATAAGATCAATGCGTCATCGATGCGGCGTGTTCAAATGAAAATTCCTTGAAAAGCAGGGGCATACTAATGTGTTCATTGCCGAGAAGAATTTACCTTGTCTAGTTAGTTGAACGGCCTTTAAGTGCCTATGACCAGACGGGTAGATATCGGCAATGGTTGGTTGATTGAAGTGACTGCCGGACATCGGTACAGCTAACAAATATCGTCGCCTGAAAGACACTGCAATGGTCAGATAGACGGAAAGAGCGTACCATGAGAATACACCAAAGCCTCTTAAGCTTTGCTCCATCCGTTTAAATTCTCAAGCTGTCAACTGGTGTATGATAATTGTCCTTCCGTTCCTGCTAAGGATTCCTGAGGCATTGGAGGCTTTATTTTTTATCTTTTCATTAAATGATAGCTCGATAAAGGATCGTTGGTCTTACTACTCATACGTAGATCCAGCGGCAAATGCTGCACCCTAAATCCCATCTCTTGTCTTATGCTTTTCTGCATGTGGTGAGAGTAGGAGCACCCCTCTCGTAGCTTTAAACTACGTTATCCCTCCATTTTAGCCTATTGTCTAGAAATTTGGCCCGCGGCTCCATCTAAGCTGAAAAGACAATGCAGTGTTGGTGTGTCGAAAGCGGGGATCTTATCTCTTCTTGTAAACCGCATCACTTTCACTTTTTTCAAGTTGAAATAGAGCCCACAGTGCATAGACTAGAACGATATCACCAACGCAGGCAATGACTTTGACTCCACCCAATTCCATTTGTATTAATAATGAGTTTTTTTAAAGTTAGCATAGGTGTCTTCACAAGCAACCCTCCGATGAAACTCTCTTTCAGTTTCCCTTATGCTGAATTCCAAATAAGTGCTGGACTGCCACGAATCTCTACAGGAGATTGTCAAATAGAACAGACCGACTCTCACGTGGGTCGCTGGTCACAGGGATATCGAGAGAAATTGTAAAGCGGATGAACTTTCTACGCCAGGAGCTTCTCAAGGAATTTACATATGAACAAGCTGCGCTAAGTTGCAATGTTTCTACAACTTGCCGCAAATCCAGACACACCTGGACGAGATATGTACTTCCTAAAAAGGTTTAAAAAATGGAGTAGCAGTTCTGACAGGCCACTGTCTGATAGGGCGAGACTAAGGTCCCATTATAGTACGAGAAGCCGCCAGGATGATGAGTAGGATGAAACGATCACACATCTTCTAAGCGGCTGTCCAGCTTTGAGCAGGGCTAGGTTTCGGATATTTGGTACCCTACTGCTAGATGATCTATCGAAGGAGTCCCACGTCAAAGTCACGGATTTAATGAGGTTCATTAGAGAATCAAAAAGACTGTATAATGAAGACTGTTGGTCAGATTTTTGCAGTTATAGCATTACAATGGGTCTTAGTCAGGTCTAAGTGAAATCGATACTAGGATCGGTAGCTGGCACAACCTAACCTAAAAGCAAGTTTACTGTGAGGGTGTCAAAGGGTCGAGCGGGGTAGATTTAAACGTTTTTTTTTATTTTTCTTTTTTTGAGGAAAATAAAATTAGAAAGATTCAGAACGTGTATTCTGGCTCTAGTGACCTTGACCTAGCTCTACTTTTTTATCAAAAATTATAATAAAATTTCACGAGGTTAATTCAGTATAAAAAATATAAAGTTTTAATGTCTCCCACATCAATAAACAATTGACTCAACATCAAATTTCACTAATTGTCACATTTACATACTTAAATATTTATATTTTTCCAACAGCCACAATAAACTCTCCATATCCTTATGGTTCCTATTATATATATACACATATACATACATACCCACCACATATCCTCCAAAGTGCTCAAAACAATTGTTCCATTCAAATAATGGCAAATTGTACATATCTGTATTGAGAAACCCACCAAAACCGCTATAAAACATTCAAGTGTTGCAATGCAGGCGTATATACATACATACTATATGTATTTACACTTCAAAAGAACATATACATACATACACATGCAAACATATATAGATATGCTGCAGGCAAAAAGGTGCACTGGTTTGCAAGAAGAGGCTAACTACTAGTATTTTGAAGACGAAGACATACTAGTTTGTTATAAACCAGCATTTTACTAGTATTTAAAGGAGAGAAATATACTAGTTTGTCATATGAGTAGACTAAAATTATAACGGTATTTTTCCGCATATTGAATTGCGCAGCATTTTGCTCACTCACCTTAAAGTGAGAGAGCTTGGCTGAGAACTGCTGATGCATCCATCACTTAGCACTGACCTTATACACCGTCAAACTATCATTTGTTTCGATCTTTGCAGTACTCATTAAATGGTTAAAGTTTCGAAAATGACGAGGCTATAAAATTGCACTTGGTACAGTTTTTTGCAGTTAAAGGTGAGAAGTTCTATGAGCGTGAAAAAATCATTTCGCTGGAGAGATGACGAGAGATCATCCAACAAAATGGAAATTACATAATTGATTAAAATTCATTATAAAATAAAAAATTAAAAAATGTATTTAAACTTTTTTTTAAATAACGCTCATTTCTTTTGGGGCAACCAAATTGTTTTTGTAAAAATGTAAACTAGTTGAATTGTATGTAGTTAACAACTAGTATTTTTCCCTGCTGGGAAGACAGAGTCGCATAAAATTCAAAAATCTATTTGTTAAATCGCAAACATTTCATTTTTCAACTTTTGCAATACGCCAACAACAACAGTACATTTGCATGTATACATACATACATACATATATTGCATAAACGCAACACACACACATATATATGCACACATATGCGCACACAACCTTGCTCCAACATTTCTAACGAATCACAAATTTTCTATTTATATTTACAACAAATAATCCCTTATGTCAACAACAACAACAATAGCAGTCGCAACAATGGCAACAACAACAATAACTGGACGGCAAATAGTACAAGCCGAAGTAGCATATATAACCGTATACCCGCAGCTGCAGCTGCAGCAGTAAAAGTAATAGTACCAAAAGCAACAACAACAACAACAACAAAAACCGCAACATCAACACCAGTATTTACCACGAGCAAACATGCAAAACCATTGCCAACAACAAGAGCAACAAGAGCAACAACAACAAGAACTAACACCATTGTAATATATCGTAGTGGCGGTGGCTGTGGCGGCAGCATGCCATATATGAGTGCACGCTTTTGGCGCAGCAACTCATTGCCGAATATGTGGTTGTCGAGTAATCAGAGGTGAGTGAAGAGAACTTGAAATGATTTGATATATTATACTTTTCTAGAGATTTCCATAAAGCAACTGCATTGAATATTTATTAGAAGTGAAGTGAAAATATATCTGAGATTTTTTATGCGTATATTTTACTCACAAATAATGAAATCAGAGACTTTCTCACCCTCCGACACATTTTTAAAAAATCACTTGTATGAAAGCTTCTACTCATAATGAGAATCACGCACCCCACACTACAATCCTTTCCTTCAGTCATCTCCTTGTCCAGCTGATGTTTCAACGGCTGATGTTTGCTGCGAAAACTTTCACAGTTGGCGTGTTTCCAACTATCCGAAGACTCGTAATGTCGAATCATCGAATTTTGTTATCATTCACTCCTCCGCACCATATAGAGCAGGAGTGATTTGTAGACTTTGGTCTTCTTTCGTCGAGAGAGAGAGAGAGAGAGAACTTTACTTTTAAATTACAGCCAACAGTACTCTCGCAGCCAAGACGCGAATGATCTGATGGCAGATATTTATTCTTTTGTCGCCTTTCGTTGCCTTTCCCTGTGATTGGCTCTTTGTAACGGCTGATGTGATTTTCGGCCGAGCTCTTCCTCAAAGTTTTAGTATGTGTCCTGTTGGAGGGACCTACAGTTTATACTAAGTCGCCTCCAAGCCGCTGATGAAGTTTTTGAGGAGCTTTGGTTTTCAAGTCGGAAATAAACTCGGAAGGCTTGACATGCCCTAACTCAAAGGACTCAAATCCTGGACAATACTAACCGACTGGCTATAGCGGTCACCAGTATACAGAAGCTAAAAAGAATTCCGATATTGTGGTCATTGCTATATATAACGTAGACATACGATATGCCAACAGTGGATTATACCTTCCCGATTTAGCTCTGTAAGTCGATTTTTCTCTTCTGCATTAGATTGCAGAAATCACACGATAAAATCTAATTTTACCTTTAAACTCATTTGGTATCGAACTGCTCTGAGAGATCATCTACGATCCTGACGAAGCTTTTGGTATTGTCCAGCGACATTTTAAACAGTCGTATGAGTTTTAAGAGGCTACCAAGCTCGCATAATGGTAGTTTCTGTTCGTGCTTTCGAAGGCTGTTTTCATATCAACAAAGAGGTGTTGCGCGCTCAATCTTTTTTTTTCGAAATCAGATTTTCCCGATCAAAAACCAATGGGTCTGAACCCACACTGATAAAGTCCAATCAGTTTGTTCACAGTGGCATTCTGTAATTCACATAATACCCTTAATAGGATCTTATATGCGCTCATGAGGAGGCTTACCTCCGTAGCAGACACAGTCTGTGGAGTCCATCTTATTGTGATTTGGGCTGTGCACACTTAAGTGAAAATCGTCGAGCACGCTTTCATCTGACCATATTCTGTCAGAAGAATTTGACCACATTTTGTAAAGAAGTTGGTGCATGCCCCTTATAAATTCATCGCCATTATGGTTGAATAGAACAGCCGGTATGCAATCAGATAGCTGAGGGCGCTTTGTTATTTTCCAAGCGAGTGAACCAAATTCAAACTTCACACTGTGGATGAGGGATCTTCTATTGTGGGTTCGCGTTAGCCTTTCCTTCATCACTGCAATTAAATAGTGTGGAGAAATCTTTCCTCTATGAACTCTGCATGAGTTGTGTATTTATCAATAGATTAACTCTCTGGGTCTTAAAACCATTTGCAAGTTGACGCATATTTTCATAGAATTTTCGATCATTCTGTCGGCCATTTTCTCAATCTCTTCGTACTTATATCTTTCGGCCTCTTCCTTCTTGTCTGGCAGCAAATGTGCCTCATTTCGTTCGTCAACCTTCGGTGTATCTGCCCCACGTATTGCGTTGTACCCTAGTTTGGTAGTTTCTTAGCTTGGTAGTTTCTTGAATTTCCACTGCGATACAACAATTCCCATGGCAACTGGCTTCAGCTTCATTACAGCTTTCTTGTCGCTGTTAGCGGGTATTCTCTGCATAAGATTCTAGGAGCGTATACACATTTACAACAATACAGACATCGAATTTTTGATTCGGAGGCTGATAAATATCTTAAAGTACACTTTTGGCTTCGGAAAAGTCGATGAGCCTCAGCCGGTTGGGAAAACCTTCGTTATGGTGCTTTTGCAGAACCTGCCCATTAGTCCATTCTATAGCATCTCACATATGGGGGACTGACGTTTTCACAATTTGTTATGACAACGCATATGAATTTGCACCTCATCTCTGGGGTCAAACCAGACTAATTGAGGAATCGGCTGGTGGGAGTCTCATTGATTACATCAACAGAGATTTCTGGAAGACTAATTAATGGCATGTTGGCCGAAAATCGCTTCAGCGGTTATAAAGCGCCAATTATATATATATATATATATATATATATATATATATATGAGTCACCGGAACGGAATGATTTATAAATCCTTGAAAAGCACATTAGTAAAGCTTCCGAGGTTGCATTGCGCAATAGCTTTTGGCACATATCTAATTGGTCTACGGGTGAATTTAAACTTATCTGGGCTGCAAAGCACTGTTTCTGCTCTCACTTACAGTTTTTAAAGTAAAAATTCCGAATTCCATAATTTTTGATCCGTAATTCGAGAGAGCACTTCAAAATTATGTTAAAGACACTCAAACTTCTTCTTTCGCGGCACTGCCAGTCACTCATCTTACTCAGGTTAAGTGTAAAGAGAGAGCATTAGAAGAGAGAGCCACTCATATTTCTAACTTTTCATTAATCTTCATTTCACTATTTCTCCAACAAATGTCAACTAATAAAGACTACTCTCCATAAGTTTTTTATCCTCGCCTGTCATAATGTCACATACTTAAGCATCTACAAACTTCAGCTTTAAAACTGAAGCAACTTTTTTTTTCAGTTAGTAAAAATCTTTACAATTTGTGAAGAAAAAAAAAGTTTCTCAACAAAAATTCTAAATTGCTGCTTAACAATGTAAACTTTAGGAAAAGTGTTGAACGCTTTTAATTTTCCTGGTAAGGGACAACAGGCAGACAGATAAGAAAGAAACGGTACACACCTGCCAGCCATTCAGTAGAAGCTGCTGCTGCTGTTGACCTTAAACAATGTTGCGCTACAACAACTGGCAGCTGGCAGCGACAGGACAGCAGTCAAGCTGTGAATCAATTTTAGTTGTTGTTGCTTTTCCTTTTGTTTTATGAGTTCCATATTTTGTTTGTTGCACGTAATTTAATGCGATTGAAAGTTTAGTACATATTTGTTTTATGTTCATATAAGGGTGAGCGAAAATTTTAAACACTCTCGTCGGACGGTGATTGGGGGCGGAAAAATAAGTATAGACCTAGCCATAGAAATAAGGGGAAATTTGCATATATATATATATAGTATATATAATTCGCTTGCAAATATATTACTTTTCAGTATTTTTTGTTTTGATTAATTTTGTTTAACATAAATTTCTTCATTTTTACTATTTTAATACTTTTTAATTTTACTTTATTTAACTTATTTCATTTTATGTTGATTTTTATTTTTGCCTTCTCATTTTGCCTTATTTAATTTATTTATGCAAAATTTTCTATTTTAAGGAAGCAATTTCAATTTATTTTATCAAATTTCATTTTATTTTATTTAATTTTGTTTTATTTTATTTTTTATTTTGTTTAATTTTTTTTTTTTTACGTTATTTTATGTTTCTATTTCATTTTATATTATTTTATTTAATTTGCTTATTTTATTTTATTATTATTTTGTTATTTAATTTTAATTCTTTTTTAACTAGCGAATCTAATTCAGTTTTATTTTATATCTTTTCTTTTCATTTCGTTTTATTTTATTTCATATAATTTATTTTCAATTTTTTTCACTTTATTTTATTACAAAATTATTACTTATTTTATTTTATTATGTTTTTTTATTATATTTTATATCATTACACTTTTTTGTTTGATGTTATTTTACTTAATAATATAAAAACCAGAACTATCTTATTTTATTTCAATTTACTATATTTGGCTTAATTTTATTTTACTTAATATATTTCATTTGATTTAATTAATTTTTTTATTTGATTTCATTTTATTTAATTGGATTCAAATTTATTTGACTTTATTTTATTTTATTTATAATATTTATTTTATTATATTTTCTTTAAATGCATTTTTTTTTATTTAATTTATTTAATTTAGTTTAATCTTATTTTATATTTCTTATTTTATATGATATTATTTGGATTTATTTCCTTTTAATTTTTTTTATGCTTTACTTTATTTTATTTCATTTTGTTTTTGATTATATTATTTAGCTTAATTTTTGTTTCATTTATTTTTTTTTTTTTGTTTTATAGTCTTTTATTAATTTAACTTATTTTCATTAATTTATTTTTTGTTAACTAATTTTTTTTATTTTATTTTAATTATTTTTTTTTTTTTGATTTTTGTTTCGTTTATTTTATATCACTCTACTTCGCTATATCTTTATAATTTTATTTTATATCTTTTCTTTTCATATTGTTTTATTTTCTTTTATGACATTTTATTTAAATTTTTTTATTTTATTTTGTTTATTGATTTTTTTTTTAAATAAACCAATTATATTTATATCATTTTGTTTTGTTTTGTGGTGTTTTCTCTACTTAATTTTATTTTATTTAATGTTTCATTTTTTTTCCTTGATTTTTTTTTAACTTACTTATTTAATTTTAATTCATTTAATTCTATTTTAATTTATGATATTTTACATTGTGCTATTTCATTTTAAGTTATTCTATTTTTTTATTCTTACTGTACAAAATACAAACAATAATTAGTTTATTTTATTTTTTTATTTCATTTACTTTTATTTTATCAAATTTCATTTTATTTTATTTTATTTTATTTTATTTTATTTTATTTTATTTTATTTTATTTTATTTTATTTTATTTTATTTTATTTTATTTTATTTTATTTTATTTTATTTTATTTTATTTTATTTTATTTTATTTTATTTTATTTTATTTTATTTTATTTTATTTTATTTTAT